CGGACTAGATGATCTGCTCAGGTCCCTTCCGACCCTAGAAACTATGAAACTATGAAATTCAGTAAGAGCAAGTGCAGAGCCCTGCACACAGAGTTGAACAATCGCATGCACAAACACAGGCAGGGGAATAACTGGTTATATTTCATTACTGCAGAAAATGACTTGAGGCTTATATTGAACTATAAGTGAGTCAGCAGTGTGCTCTTGTTGCAGAAAAGGCCTACGTATCCTGGACTGTAGTAATAGGAGCATTGCTATCAAGTCAGGAGGGATGATTCTCCCACTCTAGGTCAGGAGTTGATGGGCACTAGCAGGGTGGGGGGTGGTCTACGGGTCAGGAGTGAGGGGCAACAGCCTATCAGGACTGTTCAGTACCACAGAGCAGCAGGGGGAGGGAACAGCTGCAGGTGGACCTGCATCCTGGTGAGTGAAGGGGGCCAGGGGAACTCTGATTTTCCATGATAACAAGCCAAAATCAACCACCAAAATATGTAGGTATTTAGAATTTTTTTATTATAATGATTGAGGCACTGGTAGTCTTCCAAAATGCTTTAAAATTGTAAATATAATCAAGAAAACATTGTGTTCAACTGACACGCACATATAGTGGCATTTCGTTTTAATTGTGGAAAAACATAGATTTTGGGGGACTTAATCAGAGAATTTTGGGCCCTCCATCAAAGAATATTGTTTTTTTAAACAGAAAAAAACAGGATCCTTGCGGAAAAGCTGAAAGAACTGGGATTGTTTAGTTGTCTGAAAGACTTCCCCCTTGGTCTTGTTGCTGTTGTGCCCAATGTAGGTTGAGACAACTATCTAGGGCAGGTACTGCTCAGTGGCACCTCAGTGCCCCCAGATCTGTGTGCAGGGGTGGGCTGCCCGCAGTGGGCTTGATCCTCCCGCTGTGCTTCCTGCCCTGCTGCCCACCCTCAGGATTTCCACAGCCTGGCAGGTGTGAACCAGTGCTGCAGGGCAGAATGGGGCTGCATGGGTAAACTTGCCATTGTGAGCTCTGCGCTGCCCTGGCGAGACATCCCCTGTCCACCTGGCAGCAGCAAGGGGCACAATCCTGCACTGCTGCTGTGCAGGCAGGAGACGCCTCTCCAGGGCAGCATGGAGCATGCAGCAGTAAGGCGCTTCCCTGCACAGCCACACTCTGTTCTGCAGCTCCAGGTCACATCTGCTGGGCTGCGGAAGCCCCGGAGGAGGCCAGCAGGGCGGGGAGCCTGCGTGAGCTGGCTGCACCAACCCCCGTCTCTGCCCTGTCCCCCCCTCTCCCCTGCCCCCGCCAACTCCCCCGGGAGTGTGTGCAGTGGTGGGGAGTTGGATCCACCCCTCACCTGAGCCTACGGGGGTGGGGACACACACATCAGGCTGCTACCACCTGCAAGTTGCAGCTGAGGCTCAGGCACTGCTGAGGGGGACAGGGAGCTGCGTACCCAGGTCCCTGGCTCTGTAGCCCTGGCAGCCTCCTCCAGCAGGGCTGGAGAGGCAGGGAGCTGTAGGTGGAGGGTGAGGGGCATCAGCAGGGATGAGGGGCTGTGGGCTGGGGGTGAGGGACACCAGCAGGGCC